AATGCACTGGAGCAATTTGGAACATCTTATTGCTTTTATAAAACTTGAAATTATACACTGTTGGGTTTGTTGTTGATGTTTTGCTGGGGTTTTTTTAAAGGCACAAAATAAAGGGGGAAGTAATATCTCTCTATTTAGTGGAGATCAACGATCAGGAAGCTCCATTACTGCTCGCTGAACACTCTTCATTGTCCTAAATCTATTCCCTGTGGTGCAATACTGTGCTGCAGTTGCATAAGGAGGTTAAACATAAAAGTTCATGCATCCTTTACTAGGGGGGGAAACAAAACAAAGCCAATTTCCTTGCGCAGCAACAACGCGGTGGCCATTAGCATCCGATCGGAGCGGCTGGGGGGGGGACCGTTCCCATCGAACAGCAACGTGCAAAGCACTGCTGGGTCACAGGTATGCTCCGCACGCCCACCTCAGCTGGTGGAACAGCTCCTTGAGCTGGATGCTACAGGACTTGCCTACAATGCTGGAGGCAAAGATCCAAACTCAACAGCAGTTTCCCATCAGACCAGGCAAGATTGGAAAGGCATAAAATGGCAGAACCTAAACGCCACCCTGAAAACTCTGCATTTTGGGGTATTAGAGAGTTATAGAGCACTTCTACCACTCTCCTTCTCCGTTTTGATTTGGTTAAAGGCATTCACGCCCGGCTCAAGGTCCCAGACCTCCCAATGCATCTGCCTAGGATTCTTCCAGCCTAACAGCCACCCTGGTAGACAGAGTACGGCAGAGGAGGAAAAAGTGGATATAAAATGTTAAAAACTGTAGACTATTAGTACCTCCTCACATCACTTTGAATGCCAGAACATAAACAAATAAATAAGGATCACTTTTTCCTTGCTGTATTTTTCGGATGTTAATATGCACAGTAGAGGGCTGCCCCTGCTTCGCTACCACACAAGATGTTTCAAAGTTTGGATATGGCACTCTGTTAAGGCACCTTCAAGCAATGGTTACTGATTTAACCGCTGGGCAAAACTGCATTTTCTATACCCGACACTGCTTCCTCCAACACACAACAGCACCAGCAGCCACTCACACCTGCCATCCACAAAAAAATCCTGGTGCTTGCTAGGGAGAAACTACACCAGCCACTTCCGAAATAAATATTTGCCAGGGTTTAGGAGCAGACATTTTACACAACCGTGTGGTTTGTTCCCGAAAAGGGAAAAGGGAAGAAAAATTAAGTGTTGTCTGTCCCTAACTGACTACTAGATTAGGAGATTTAAAAATGTATATCAGCCTAAAAAAGTAGAAGCCAGCTCTGTACTGCTGCAGGATTCCTTGCTGGGAGGTGAAGCTGTAAACGCAGGCGTTCAGTGCGGGGTGCCTGGTGCTGAACTGGATTTGTTTCAGCACCAACAGGAGGTACAAGGACAACCTCCCCTGGGGGAGGACGGGCAAGTTACTGCACATCACCTCACCCTGCCACAAAAAAAGGTACTAGGGTCTGAGTTTTGAGATTTATGACAAAGGGATGGGAAGGGGAGGGGGGGCATTTTAAGATGAAGGGAGCTGAGGGGAGATGAAAGCTCAGGCATCGCTCTGTGCAGACAGCTGGCTCCATCCTCCCAGACAGCAGGATGCTCAGCACTGCAGCTGAGGGGCACAGTGCTGTGGGGCCAGAGGGAGCTTGCAGGCAAGCCCAAGTAAGGGTGGTCATTTCTACATAAAACAATAACCAGTCCTGCAAAGATGCAAGAAGGGTGGGGCAGGGGCATAGGTCCTGGCACGAAAGGAGAGACCGCGGTGGACTGTGGCCCTGCTTCAAAGGGACGGGAGATCCCAAGGCACCCGCCAGACCTGCCTCTACCCCCACACCGCTGACCCACACCCCAACCCACGCCATGCAATGGTGACCGAGAGTGCAGCGGGAATCCCGAGAGAGTGGGATCATCCCGATTGTCGGGGCAATGATGTCCAGGGAAAAGAGACCTCCAACCCTGACCCTCTCCTCCAGGTGGACACTTTGATATCTTGTAGCTGTGTGGAGCTGCTTCTCCAGTAAAAAGATGCATCCTTTCCTCACACAGTAAATGAGAAACGCAATGTGATCTATCATGCGCTTGGATCATGGGCTTCTTCGTTTGTTTGAATTAGCAATGTTTTCTTCTTCTTCGGGGACTAGAATAATCACTCAGGTATTTACAAACACCAACTAGCGCCTTCGCGAGGTCTCCCCCAAACCATCATGACAAAATCACTGTCTGCAGGAGCCCCGCACCAGCTGTGTCCAAACAAGCCCGTGCTTGCTGAGAGCTCGGGGCTGCTGAGGGAGAGGGGCGCTGGATCTCCGAGTCCTGGGGGGATCTTCCCAGCCGGCTGTCTCTTCCTTGGGGTGCCTCTCCCTGCACCCCTGTCCCAGGGTGCTGGCTGCTGCTATTGCTGCTGCGGGTGCAGTGGTCCCGTTCATACTCCTCCTGAGCCTTTTGCATTTTCCGCTTCTTCATCTTCCTCTTGTGGATGTGGAAGGTGGTGAGGGAGAGGAGGATCAGGCAGAAGATGAGGGTGACCAGGACAATTAAAACCAGGGTGGATGAGAAGGACTGCAAGAGCTGACCCACTTGCGTGATGCAGGTGCTACTGGTGTTCGAGGTGGCAGATGTCCTGTTCAGGAGACAAGGCGGCAGGGACAGCCTCAACTCCTTGGAGAGCTTGGCACTCATTGAGGAGGCTTCGGAAGACGAGGATCTTCCTTTCCTCTCTGCAGACAACTAAATTTCAGTCGGTGCCGGGCTGCTGACGGGCGCTCGCTGGAAACACCGGGGATGCCGCCGGCTCAGCCTCACGCTCGCTCTGAAGCGACCGAGCAACCT